TATACATTTTTTGGTATCGGGGATTGAACTTGGGACCTTGCACTTTGGAGGCAGGCAGCAGAACCACTGAGCTAAATCCCCAGCCCTCTCAGATATATTTGAAAGAGGCAATTCATGAATTGACCATGTCATATTAACAGTTTGTGGGCTTTGAAATTTTACATTAAAGGAAATAAGCAATAATAATGGGTAATAATGTATTTCTGTGCCAAGATCAGTCACTCACTCAGCAATAAGTTACCTTCTTTTGTGCTTTACTCACAAAGAAATTGATAGCCTCTCTTCACTAGTTCCTTTCTAGTCCCACAGATATTTACAGGGCGCCTACGTCAGCTCTGTCCTAGTACAACAGGATATAATACAAGGACACATAAAGAACACATGATCTATTATTTAATCATAGTTATTCTCTCCACTAAATAAGGAACGTAAGTTATTATAAAATGGAACTCTGCAGTAAAAGGGCTGAAAAGAGATACTGCAGGATTGTTTTTAATACTTCACTATAGACAATGTTCAATGCTTTCTCTCATTTGATCTCATAGCCAGTGAGAAGGGTATCAGCACCCCTACAAGGGACTCAGTAACTTGGCCAGGTCACAGGCACAAACCTAGGAAATTTATCAGATTTCAAAGTCTCAGTTCTTAATCCCACTGCCTGGAGGCTCTGTGTACAGAGTTTACATGTGATTCAAACTCTCAGGACTGGACTCCTATTTAGCCAGGGACTGAGTGGTTTTTTTTTATTTAATTAATTTTATTGGTACATTTTAGGTATACAATGACATTCATCACTGGAGATTTGTACCTTTACATAATATATCTTGGTTCTTATTTTCTTCCCCATTCCCCTGCCCTCGCTTCACCCCCTCCATCCCTCCCTATTTAGAAAGACTTTGTTTCCATTTTTTCATTTTCTCAAATAAATTCCATTTCCTTCTTTCCTTTCCCCTATCCCTCCCACTTCCCACTCCCCTTTGCCCCTTTTCTTCCTCTTTCACATTATCTATTATACCTTTTAGTCCTTATTTACACTTTCAGTTTCTCACA